AAGTGACAGGAGATTCGGAAGCCTGTGACCAATTCCCCTGGTTCTAAGAATATAATCACTTCTGTTGCGAGAGCGATGAATTCCCAACCTCTTGATGACTCCAGAGCTCCTGCCATTTCACACTAATTTCAGCTCATTTCCCCTATAATTTTGCCTCCTGTTTATTCTGCAGAGGTCTGAGCAGCACTAAGCCTTTCAGGTGAGCCGCCAGAACAACATGATGCAACACCGTACGCTGCGTTACCACCCGCTCCTGCAGCTGCTGCCACCCTCCGTAGCGCTGCGCCTCCGCTCCCCCCTGAGAGGGTAATTTACTGATTAGCTCCCTGGGAAGAGGCTGAACAACAGGATGTGCAACACATCTGTAAAAATTGCATCAACCGCGACGCCAAAGGAGTTCTTCCTTTGTGTTGTGTGCTTGGCCCAGGCCATCTGCAAGAGTTCTGCTGCGTGAATTCACGGCTGCTGAAGGACAGAACTGCACCGTCGTTCAGCTCCGTCATGAAAATGTTTCATTATTTTTATTCCTGGTTGCTAGAATTATCACCTTCTCATGAAAGGCGTTTCCTTCTCGCATTGCTATCCATGACCACATCGGTCACATCACTTCTGCTTGTCCTTGAGGGCAAGCGCCGTGGAAGCGGAGCTGGTGTCTACTCCAGCACCTGCGTGACTCTTCGCAGAGCGCCAGCCTCTGCCCAGATGTTCCCGCAATTCCACCACCGAGGCTTCTTGCTCCAAATTCCGACTGTACTGACCAACACCCCAAGCTGAAGTTAGCGAAGGAACCAATGCCAGCATCTATTTGTCCTCTCCAGCATTTTTATATGGCGCTCCTCAGGTAACGGCAACTGCGGTTTATTACCGAAGCAGCAAGCCTTTAGCAGCCCTACCACCCATTGCTAGGGAAAGCTCCTGTGAACCAGGCATCACCCTGGCGTGGCACAGAAACGCCCCCCAACAACCCCACTTACAGAGCACCAAGTACTTCTGCCACCGATGGGTATAGTCTGGTGCCATGGTCAGCTAAAATGACTTCAGAAGCAGTGGTTGAAAGACATTCTAAAGGTGTCAGATGCCGTTAGGTTGCCAGGATGTAACGAAAGGCCTTTGGTTGCACTTTACTGGTGAGGAAAATGGAAGCTGAGCAATGTAGCAGGGCGGCAACAAGCCAAAGCCAGGTAGAGAGTATAGTTGTCCTGAACCAGCACCCGTCAGACCACAAGGCAAATATTTCCTGACAGACAGCAAACGACGGTGACAGGGGAGAACAGGAACAGAAGGGAACAATTTTATTTCCAGTATCCCTCCTTTCCTACAGCATGCGGGCAATGACGAAGCCGCTATTGACATGGGCATTCCCCAGATTAGCCACCTCTCTGCAGGAACCACGAACCACAAGCAGAAAGGGGCCCCCAGAGTTCCCGGGGACACAAAACCCAAGAGAGTAAAGCCACCGTTCCGCGAGAGAGGAGTGCACTGTGCAGAAGCGGTGCCAGGCTCATCTAAAAGAGAAGCAAGAATGCGTACGCTGGTGATGGGACACTCCCACAGCTCCTAGCCTGAGGAACTGTGTAAATGGGAGGCAAGCATCGATCACTGCATGGGATCCCTGGCAGCCTGTCAAACGGAGAAGCAAAGAGGAAAAAAAAAAACCCCACAACAATGGATACGTTTTTATTTCCTTATGTCCTACAAGACAAGTTGTTGACTCAAAATGACTGACTTGTGCAAATCAAACGCCTCCAAGCCTACCTCCCTTCTTCCTCCTGGGCCCTGTCCCTGTCCTGCAGGCACGGGTACGTGTCTGCTGGCTCCACTCTGCCCGGGAGGCCAGGCCACCTTCTCAGAGGATGCTCCAAGAGGCATACGGGACTTGTGGCTCCTGGTCACACGGAGGTTTGGGCTAGCAGCTTGCTGAGCCATGTAAGTTGCACACCCTGATCTTACCCGATCCAAGCCTAATTCTTCCACAATGCCACATTTTTCCACTTCGGACAATAAGGAATTGCACAGAAAGATGGCTGGACTGGAACCCCCGCGCAATGCACGGCTTCGGCTTCCGAAACCACCACGGGGAACAGCAGATTCTCTTTACAACAACTCCCCAATGCAGAGGGAAATAACCAGAAACATTCGTTCCTCTTTGCGGGGAGGAGGTGGTGACCGGGGGGTAGGGAGGGAAAAGAGCTGAAACAATCTGCCAGCAGCACAAACTTTGTTCGCACTCCAATTCTGGCTCAGATGGGAAGCAGCCAGCATTAAAAAAAAAAAAAAAAAAAAGCAAAAGCAAACCCCTTAAGAAACAAGGAAGCTGTTTTTCTGCTTGTAGCGCCTTCTGAAACAGCATCCCCCACGCCCCAACACGCTGGGATGAGCACAGGGAATAAGAGAACACTTTTTGACGAGACTTTTGCAAAGTATTGCACGTAAAATCTCTGACTCAGTTTGTAAGATCCTGCAGATATCATGCAAGGGGGCTCTACGAGGAAGAACAAATTGGCATAAAAACCGGACACAATGGACAAAAGCCTTTCAAGTCTGAAGCCCCAAACAATGAAAGGTCTGTTTTATTAATCTGCTGCAAATTATGAGCACTGCATACACTGTACGAGGCTTCCAGACTGGTGCCAGAGGAGCGAGGGGGAAAAAAAAAAAGGAAAGGAAAGGAAAGTCTACCAGGACTGTGAGCAGCGTGTTTGCAGAGCCAGCCTCTGCGTGGCCGAGCTGTCAGGAGTCCGGCAGCACGCGAGGAAAGCCGGCAGAGGGCTCGCCCGAGCCAGGCTGCAAACAACAGGGAAATGCCACAGGAATTCACGGGGAAGATGCCATGAACTGTATTTCCTTCCTTCCTTCCCCAACACTACGAGCAGCTCAGGGAGCAAGTGTTGCAAAACAGTTAAACCACACCAGCACCCTTCTGCACCAGCCCCTCGCCTGGCGCACGCTGGCAGGTGCAAAAGCTCTCCCAGATGGCCACACGCCTCGGACAGCACGTGGCCCTGTGGCCACGGACTGGGATTCCCCCGGGATGAGTTCAGCCTCCTGGTTTTCAGCAGTTGGGCCATGGTTCTGGCGCTGTCCCTCGCTATTCCCGCTTCCGACCTCTAAAGCGGGGATACCGACCCCTTACTGGGGTGTGCAGATGAACTGGGCCACAGCTTCCCCACACGCGCACTGAAAGACAGGAACGTTTTTCCTTTAAGAATCCCACTGTTGGAACTCAGAAGTTCAGAGAAGCATTTCAATTATACTTTATTAAAAAAAGGAAATGCTTAAAAAACCACCCCAAGCCCCTCAAACCTCACTTTTGCCAGGGCCACACAGGTCAGACACAGATTGTCAGTACTGCTGCAAAAAAAAAAAAAAAAAAAAAGTACACACCTTAAACAAACAGAGGCTCTGGCTGCCGTGGATTTGAGGCTTTTCTGGTTTTTTAAGTCAAGGCCAAGAAATTTCTAAACCAACATGACATTCTCTGAAGGTGAATGCAACTGAAGGTTCAACCCCTAAGCAGTAGCCCAGGGTTAGAACACAATCCAAATGGGACAAAAAGCCTGGGAACCAACAAAATAAAGTCACTTATTAGGAATGATAGTTAATCATGCAAAGGCCTCTCTGTAAAAATATTTCCAAGGTGGGCTTCATGACATTTAAGTAGTTTCCAAAGCCATCTACATTCCTGTTAACAGTTGTCAAAAAAGACTGTCAGGCATCACGTTCAGAGAGCTAAAAGGGACACCCTCAAACTGATGTGGTTCAACACAATTTGGAAACCAAAGGCCCATCCTGGGCTCCCTGCAGCTGCTTCGCAACGCCCCCCTGCAGCCCGAGGAGAGCTGTGGTGGGATGGGGTGGGATGGGATGGGATGGGATGGGGTGGGATGGGACAGGACGGCCGTGCTGGCACGGCCAAGGCGCCGCTCAAAGCGCTGCCCACCCAGCTGCTGCAGAGCTCCTGCCCAGAACCCCCTGGGCTCACAGTTAATTAGAAGCATAGGCTAGGACACATATCAAATGCAAAGCTGATACAAAGTCTGAGACCACTGCGCTGAAGTGCTTTAAAGTATCCAGGGAGAGCTGAATCAATTAGAATTCTGCCTTCATAAACCTTGTCCTTACTGGCATTCTCTGGGCCTGAGATTAGCCCATGAAATAGAGGCAAAATCTCTTCAAACCCAAGCCTTCGTGCAGTCTGTACATTGCTGGCATGCACAAAGGAGAACTCGTTCTTCCTGATTTCAGGCGTAGTTTCAAAGCCGAGCTGCATCCCTAACACCAGCCCCACCGTACTTCGCGAACACAGCACACCCGTCCTCCCCAAGATGGAGATGAGTGATCCACCGCACCGAGCACAGAGCAGAAGGCCAGAAACGTTGCCTATCAATGCAGTGAGACTGGATTCCTACTGTTTGTTATTCCCTGGCCAAGGTGCCCTCTTTCCCCTACGCAGAGTTTAGTGCGGATGCCATTGATGAGCGTTGACATTTAGATATTCCAGCGTTGACTAAAATATCCAGGTTAGAAATATTAATTCTTACATGTCTATGTGGGACCATGTTCTGAACACTAGCAAAACAAGCTCATACATGCAGACTTCATGTCAACAGGGTGCCTTGCAGAGAGGCACCCACGGCTCCAAGGAAGTCACGGACACTTTGATGTGGCTCTGCACAAGAGGTAACTGGCACATCTCCTCAGCACAGCCCATTAGAGCAACAAAGGACCTTTTTAATTTAGCAATGCTGCTTCCAGGGCTCAAGAGAGTTCACCTGAAAGACTGCACATACAGAGCCCTGAACGTTCGGGGCCAGGGTTCACTGAGCAGCAGCAGGACTGGCTGGCAAAGTATTTCCTGTGACTTATATGGGTGTCTGAAGCAAGACAGGATATTCAGCTCAATGCCACTGCGACGCCTCTCGGTTGCCTTCAGTACCTCCAAGCTCAGCAACCAGCACCCCAGCTATTTGCCCAGAAACTAGAGAAAAGGATGCACTCACCTGCTTTCATTATCCAGAAACACAGAGCTACTGCTTTTCCCGAGGGCTTCACTAATGGGGGAGAGGCAGAAGGGGGAAGAGAAGGCATCAGAATCAGAGTCAAAAGTACTGTCCCTGCTCACGTCGTCCGCAGACAGCTCCAAGGAGCCCTCGTCCTCCCCTGGCTCTGGTCTGCAGTCCAGACCTTCCTCCGTCCCCTCCACCGACAGCTCTGACCTGTTCTGCTCCTCCTGAGAGCTGATTGTCGATAGGATTCCTGAGTCACTGCGGGCAGGCTGGGGGGACCGGCGGGTGCCGTCGGCCACAGGGCAGCACTGGGAGAGCTTCTCCCCTTCCGAAGAGGGGGAGCTGATGTAAGCCACATCTTTCACAAGCTGTGACACAGTCAAGATGTCTTCTCCTTTCAGGATCACTGCCCCTCTCTGCTCGGTGGGGGAAGCCTGCCGGACAATGCCGAAACCCTGAGTGTGGCGGCCACGTTTGCGGGGAGCTTTACGGACAGGGGAACTCTCGGGAGTGATATAGCGCAGGGCCTCTTCATCCTGCCTCTGAATGCGGGAGTTTGGCACCCAGGCAAGGATAAGCGTGGTTCCGAGTAGCTCATCTTTCTCCATGTACAAGCACAAATAGCCTTCGAGAGAGCAAAGGAGCAATCAGTTAGACACAGCTTTACGCATAGGCCTGAAATTTGCCCATCCCCATCTCCCCCCACTTCACCACCATTACACATGGGCAAAACAAACCCTTTTGTTTACCAGGAAAGAATTCTGCCAAATGAGTTGTGGCGTGCTCAACATTACTCAGTCTTTACAAATAATTTCAAGTCTGCATACGGCTTTTGAATCGTCTACATTCCCTCTGGCCTAAGTGGACGTAGAAATGACATACAATTACCTCAACTTCCTGGCTGGATTACTAATCAAGAGTAAATGCTGAAATATGTTGCCACATGAAAAACTTCTGCTGTTTGTTAGTTAAACAATTTCAAGTGCCAGCTAAACATTTCTTTCTCAAGAATATTTACCTTAGTGTAGCTAAAGGGCTACACTCATGGAAAGCCAATAGGAAAAAAAAAAGTCATGCACACAGGAAGGGAAGCGTGGGTCAATGTTCACAGAATAATCGGTTTTGTGAAGCTAAGGCAGTAGCCACGGCTCTCTTTGATGAAAACATGAAAGGGCGCAGTAACAGACAAGAACAAAGGCCCAGGGCAGTATTTATCTTCATTTTCTCCCATGCATGCAGCCACAATCAGGTTTTCGTTCTTTTCCCTTTACCAATGGTGGCTGAGGCCACTCTAGCACTGACAGGTACAAGACGATACTTGGCTTTCCTGAACAATACACATATTGGAAAGAGCAACAGAAGTTCCTGTCCTCCAACAAAACTGTCCATCTTCTGGCAATACAAAAGGACTTACTAAAACGGGTAAATCCAGGCTAGACCAGAAGAGAACGGAGAAATATCATCGATTTTCCTACTAAAGGAAGAGCTGATGGAACAGCTTGTGGATGTCTTTCCTCAATCTTCCATCAGGCTGCCTTGCCCTGTCCTCCACTGGACATTCTTTAGAGAATGTCTAAATTCTCACCCCATTCTTCAGAGCCCAAGATGTAGAATTTGCTACAAACACACATCCCAGGGGAGAGAAAACAAATGAGTGAGCAGCGTCTGCAACACCCTGTCACCTGGATGATGCTCCCCGATGCCTTGCAGCAGCTCAGGCGGATGGACACAGACATTGTTCTTTGAGTAGATGATCTCCCCATCGAGTATGGAAGAGGAACTGCTGCCACCACCAGCGTTCAAGGTCAGGAGGTCCGAAGCTTTTGAAGAAGCACGCCGGAGGAGTCGCCCCAGAGACATCACCAAGGAAGTGTTCCCATCATCTGTCAGCTTTAATCAGGAGCCAAATGCAGGAGATGTGCCAAGAAGAAGGAAAGAATAGTATTAGAATAAAAGTAACAGCAGCACAGCACATGCCTACCACTGTCTGGGAAGGAAGAGGCCTCCCATCAACTGCTGCATCAATCCTACAACTCAAGCAAGAGCCTCCGAATGCTCTGGATCTGTAACACCACCCCTGTGTGTTAAAGATGCTGAAGTACAGAATCCCGGGATGTTTTTATCTGCAATGAAGAAATATGAAGGCAGCAAAAGACCTCATTTCAATAGTTACTGGGGGGGCGGGGGGAAACAGAAAAGTAATGCTTGTCACTGAAAATTGCCCATTATGGGAATAGCTCAGCGATGCAGAGCTGCCCGATGTGGCGCTGCCCGGGGGATGTCAAAGAGAGTCAGAGTAGACCCTGGAGGATTCCTTCAGCACAGAAAAACTGCTGAGACCATGACATTAAATGAGGGGCTGCTGCTTCATCCACAGTAACCACTGATCTCCAGAAAAACATTAATCAAAGCAAGCTCATCTCGTGCTTACCAACTCTTGGCATAATACTGCTGTGCATTTGAGGTTTTGGGGTTGGGGGTTTGTTCTGGTTTTTGAGTAGTGATGGTTAAACAGAGCTTTTTCAGACATAAGTGGCAAGAGACCCACATTCAACAGAGCGGACAGACTCCAGTCGCAGCGTACAGCATGCCAGCGTATGCCACCCCTAGCTGGGAAGCAGACCGTCAGGGGCACGGCAGTTTCTGTTCTGCCGAAAGTATGCCAGGCGAGGAAACTTCTCCTTCTGTCCCTTTGTATTTACATGGCCTCACTTGCTTGTGAACAGGCCAGTCCGACCCAACACACACCACACATCGCCACGGTGCCAGGTCCAGGAGCAGCACGTGGAGAGATCAGCTCAGCGTGTTCCTCCTGACAAGCCCCGCACCACCAGGCAACAGGGGCAGCCAGAAACAAAAAGAAAAGCAGACAGGGGCCCTGGACGCAGGAAACATTTAGGGGCCTAAAGCAAGCATCGCCGAACACTGACAAGCCCTGATTTCTTTAAACACGGCTTCTACGGTACCTCCAGACAAATGAGGAAGCCAGAAGGCAGAGAGGGCAAACAGAAACCAGCGCTTCCCGAAGAGCGGAGTGAAAGCTGCAGGGAGGGAAAATAGCTCTCCGGATTCCAACAGACTTGTACGTAGAGAAGATTGCACATGCGACTGCCAAGTAGCTGACAGAGCCTTTATTAAAGGACACACTATTGGTTTAACTGGCAATCGCTAGATTTGTCAGCTCGAATCGCAGCACAAGCGCTCTCTCTGCATTTCGGGCTTTGCTGGAACTCGACGGAGAAGCCTCAACCCCGCTATGTACTGTGCCCAGCAAGTGTTTAGGATAAGAGCATTACTTCGCGAGTCCTTCACACCCATGTCCCTCCTAGCACCAAACACAACACTACCTTCACGTCTCAGCCCAAGAAACCAAACACCAAGGGAGCCATATGCTTGTTCTTGTCCAGATTGCCAAAAAACACAGTACTGTTTCAGGCTCTGGGTTGTATTTTGGAGAAAGCAATTGCCTCGACCATATTTAAAGAGCAAGTCACCTTTCTTCTTGTTGCACCCTGCAAGAATACAGACGGTAAACTCTGCTGCAATTCCTCCTTCCCACCACCAAGTTACAACACGCCATTTCAACACAGCGTTGAGGGAGTCCGAAGCAGTGATGTGGAGCAACCTGTACGGCACCAGAGGCCCTCGGCCTCCGGCACATCTGAAGGGGGGCATCTGTTAGCACGACGTCTGTAGGCACACAGTCTGCTCAGCTACGCCCCGTTGCTGTCAAGGCTGCAACCAGCCGAGGTATCCAGACCTTTAGCTACGTCAGCTATTTCATCAGACCTCTGAAAGTGCAAAACCTGCGTACGCAAAGGAGGAAGGTGGTGGCATCAGGTGGCTGCGGCTGCTGACCAGGGAATGCTTCCTCAGAAAACACGGGTGAGCTTTTCCTACTAAAGACAGCAGATGGAGATGTACGCATGAAACCAGAGCTTGTGTGGTGTCCTGCTGCAGCTCCCCAGGGCTCTCAGGAATGCAGGCAGAGGTGCAGGACTTCTCTGCCAACAGAGGCAACATTTAATTAGCTTTTACCTAGCAGAGAAAGAACAAAGCAACAGGTAAAAGATCAAAAGCTGCTCCCTGGAAAGCAGGAGGAATTTGAAGGGAAATATCACCTTGATCCTGCAGCACTGCCTTGACACACGGGTGGACAGCACTGCAGGTACACACACGCAGGTTGGGAAGAGGAAACATTAAAAAAAAAAAAAAAAAAAAAAAGACAGGAGGTGAAGAATATGATGCCCTGCCAGCATAGAAACTTAGTGTGTTGAATTTGCCTTGCAGAAGAGCTATGCTTCAGAAATCAGAGACCACTACAGCGCTGCAAGCAAACAGCCAAATATTCTGGGATACTTAAATGTCATCAGCAAGACTCAAATGAATCCCTTCACCATTGCCACAGGCTGGGAATTCTGTGTAGCTTTGGCTGCAGCACTTAAGGAAAACAGATGCAAGTCACCGGATGGTTTCAGGGAGAGCGACAAGAGTGATCTGGGGCACGGAGATTGCCAAGGGAAGATTAAAGAAAGGGAAGTGTATTAGAAGTCTTCATACATGTGAACTGTCACTGCCAAAAAAAGGAAGAGCCGCCCATGGAGGGCAGGAGAAGTAGAAGGGCAATGGAATATCCAGCTTAGTCATGCTAACAGCAGGGGTACCAGAACGGGGCAACCTGATGAGGGTGTTTCCATCGCTGGGGGGTTTCAAAGACCGGCTGCAGAAACCAGGTAGGCAGGTGGTCCCTGCTAGGGCCAGGCGAAGGACTGGACCCCTGAAGGACATCTGGCCTACTCGTACAACCCTACAAGTCTCTGAAGCCCAGCTTGTGAGCATGCCTCTCCTCCCCAGAAAGCAGGAGTTCACACAGCACAAAGCAGCAAGCAACAACTAGACAGAATCTGCAGGATTTGCTCTATTCCCTGCCCTCTTCCATGTGGGACAACATCTGCACACACCGTCCGTGGGGCCGGGTTGTGAGGAGAAGCAGGCCTTGCTCTTGCCTCTTGCACAGGCTTGGGTAGGCAGGCGGGAACTGTCCCACAGCTAAGTCAGCATTAAATTAGCACCATTCAAAAAAATGTGGTCTTGATATTAATTTTCAGTTTATCCCCTGATCTGAAGGGATTCTTTTCAACGTGGCAGAGACAACCCAGTTCTCCAGGAGCTGCAGCACTGAATTAGTCGATAAGCTCTTGCTCAGTGCCAATATTTATTAAGCACACACACATTTTCTTCTCCCACACATCAACTGTCGCCACTAAAAATCTTTGCCACAGCTACCGAGTCTGTTCGCGCAGCCCCTGGCTGCTCTCCCAGTCGATGCCAGCACTTCTCAGCTACACGAGATCTCACAAACGTGTTGGGGAGCCAACTCCTGAAGTGACCCCAGGAGCCTCTTCACAAGAGCCTGACCCGTTCCCGCCAGCAGCATCTCAAATAACACCGGCTGCTCGCCTCCCTTAGAAATGCCCTTCCCCTTCTCACAAACAGATCAACAACGAGATCCTGTTTGGCTTGGCAGATCGCACCCTCACCTTGGCAGACGCTGCTGGACCAAATGTTGCCACCTCCGGTTGCACAAGATTGCTGTATTCCAGCAAGGGGGGGCAATGCCGGGCCCCTGCACAGGCTGACACAGGCTCCAGCACGTTACTCCCGGTCTGTGCAGCACACGCTGACGCCGGAGCGGCTCGTGAGCACACAAGGCAACAAGGCTTCTCCCACCAACAAATTTAGGCTATAGAGGCATATGACAGCCTGGGCTTTGGGGTCGCTGCAGCCGACAAGTCACGCTGCTGAGCCGTTTGTGCCTGGCAGTGGGTCTTGCAGCTCCAAAGGCAAATCTGCTGTGCAAGAGTTTAATAGCTTTACAAGCCAAATAAGCCAAGCTACAGGGCTTTTGAAGCAAAACATGAGACCTACAGCATGTCTGGGCACAGAGGCGAAACGAGCTGTCAATCATCGGCACCAAATTTAAGCATGAAACGCCTTAAGTAAGAAAACCACAACAGGCTTTTTTTCTTTTTTTGTCCTTAATAAGTTAAAATTGATTTCACATATTTGAGGAGTACAGAGTCACTGCACCGAGGAGGTCTCAAACACTGCAGAAGTTCCTGCCCCTTGCTCCCTTTGGGAAAAGCAAACGCAGGGTTTGCATCTCCGGTAGCCCAAGCCCAGGTTACAGCGCGCCGGAAGGCAGAGTGACCGGAGACGGAGCCCAGGAGCCGTCAGGACTCGCAGCTTCTTTCCAGTCCTCCGACTGGATTTGCTGTGCAGCTCTCAGCCAGTCACGCACTTGATCTATACTTCTCTACGTATACACGAGAGCCCTTGTAATGACCTTCCCTTTGTATTGCAATACCTCTACACTAGGGAGGGGAAGCTTTCAAAACTACCAGCTGTTAGCTGGAGCTATTTAAGATGACCCAGCCAAATCAAGGAAAAAAGTTTACCATAGGGAGCCATTCTGAAGCCATCCCATTTCACGGGGAGAATTATGTAGGTCACCAAAAAGCCTTTCATTCCTGACCGCTGGTGCAGCAGTGGCATGCAGAGTACGGAGTAAAGGAACAGCAACAGCAGTCACCATCGACGGCTGGAATCCCGACACTCGCACAACTCCCCATTCCAGTCACTTCAGCGGAACAGATTTCGCTTGGATGCATCTCAGCTGAGAAGGTAAAAACGGGCCAGCAGGCTAAGCACTGTGAGTTTGTGACTCAGAGATAAAAAGGGAAGCGAAATGCTATGATGGGAGCCTGCCTGCTGCTCCCAGCCACACCTGCTTAGGCATAAAAAAAGCAAACAGAAAGCTTACCACCCCTCCAGCGCTAAGTCAAACCGCAACACACGCTGTGGCGCTGAGCAGTTATTTGTGCCATATGTCCCTCCATCCCAGGATTAAACAGCATCGCACGCTACTTAACTGCAGTGCTGGGGCAGTAGGTAACACTTCTACGGCTTTTCATTTCCAACGTCCCATAGCCGTGGCCTGCCAATGCTCACAGGACAAGGTCCCTAAATACCAGCAGCTAAAAAATCCCAGCAGCCTGGTTTCAGAGTTGAGTTGATGAACTAATTGCAAAGTCTTCTCCTAACGCGACAGACATCAGACCGTGCGCCTCTGATGCTTTGAAGCAGCCTGCTTTTCTCCCCGCTGCAGGCAGGACCATGCCCCGCTCCCCTCCTGTCTGCCAGACAGGGAACGCAACGCTCTGCCCCATCCCGGCTCTCCAGCTCTACGCCGACCACGCAGCGAGACACACAGAACCCACCCGGCTACCCAGCAAAGCCAACGCAGGGTCAGAGAAGCAGCTTGCAGAGACGTCTCTGCTTTTGGCCAGGTTATCACCAGGACGAGAACGAACTCCTCTAAGTCTGCAAACCTAACGGGGGCTTCCACAGAAGAGGCAGCAAGGCCGAGATCTTTACCCCGAGCTGTCCTGGTCTTAACGCCAGAACAAGAACGGGCTCCTCTAAGCCTACAAACCTAACGGGGGCTTCCACAGAAGAGGCAGCAAGGCCGAGATCTTTACCCCGAGCTGTCCTGGTCTTAATGCTTCTACTATTTTCTCTTAACAGATCTTTCACTTGTACAACTTCCTATTCAGCGCGGCGAGGAAGCACGTAACACCTTTGCAGGACAAGCTCCCCGTCCGCGAGCAGGAGACGGGCAGCCCTGAGCGGGGAAGAAGCAGAGCTATTTTACAGTGCCAGCAGCACAGCGCTCTGTCAACCCCTCCGGCTGCCCTGCGTGGAGGCCGTGCGTCAAGTAACCGCCGAGGATGCCCACCACCCACCTTCCCGCCTCGGCTGATGGGAGAACTCAGCACAGGACGGGGGCAGATGTTGGGGAACGCGAGAGAAGGCCGCCCCCCCGGGGTAAGGCAATCATAACACCCCCCCGGCTGCACACAGCCGCTCCAAAATCGCAGGAGACCGAAGTTGGAGCAGTGTTTTGCGTCCCGCTTTCTGCCCGCCCCGAGCCGCCCCCCCCCACGCCGCGCGGGGCCC